TAATAAAGTGAGTCTACATTTTGTGATAAGGATACAAAAATGATCCAGAAAACAAATTCATTGTCTCCTAAGTAATAGCATTAGAGCATATGTGTGTGTGTGTGTGTGTGTGTGTGTGTGTGTGTGTGTTACGGCTTGTATGCTAATCTTTTAAAAGAGCTGCTCATCATAACCAGCCAGATAGAACAAAAAAATTTTTAATTGGCTTTTTTCCTTGGTTAGTTCGTGATGGGACAAGAGTCATCTTGCCAAAGCAACAAGTTAGCCATAGTGTAATCCGGTAACCACAGCTTACATAGACTCTATTTTGCCATCTCTGTGTCAATCCTTTTCACACTTTTAGCGTTTTGCAACTAAGTGTAAATATTTTCTTGCAGCGTTGCCCTACTGTAGCACTTTTAAAAAACTGGTGAGATTGAAGTTGGAATATTAAAAAAAAAAAAAGCTTGAGAAAAAAGCTTGAGCTAAAACAGCACTAAAATATGAGCTATTGTTATTACTCTTGACTGCATGACAACAGAATTCGTTTTTCAACAGCCAGAGGGTCTAAGTTAATTGTGATTTATCCAATGCTGGATTTTAGTGCTTTCTGCTTTTTAAGGGGCTTTATTTTGATTTGATTTGTTTCCAGTGCTCTAAGCCTGTCTGCATTTTGCTAGTTCATATGCACATTGGGTTAGACACACGAGTAGGGGGAGGGATGCTGCCCGCTAAATTCCCACCATAAGGCTGTCACAGTGTCTACTGACCCATCTTACAAGTAAAAAAGACTAAGAATCTGATAACCAGGCCTTGAATATGGTCATAGATTGACTTGAATGCTTGCTAACTTCTATCCTGTAACGAGTTGAGTTAGGAGCCTCTTGGCATTCTCGGTAACGAGCCAGTGACCAGTAAAAGGACTTGTTGTTGTTGAGTCTTGCGTTGTGTAGTGCAGAAGTACCTTCGTAGTTCCTCAGAACAGTAAATTTATTAGCTGCCAAAGCTGTTTCCCAACTTGCCGGTATCATAGGACAGTAAAATTTCCAAAAATAAAATGTGGAAGTATTAGCCATGCTTTAATTGTTTTATTTTGCTGGAGTGCAAATATTAAAAAATACCATATCTGTAACATTTTATTAAAAACCTTTTATTCATCAAAAAATAGTAAGAATGTAATCTTAGTGTAAGCACTCCTTTGAATTGAATAAATTTAGCTTTATGAAAAAAAACTTATGATATTGTTTATATTTTTATCATTTCACCATAGAGCCATGGAAATTTTGCCATAGACCAGTATAGGTTTGTAGCTGACTCTTGGAAATTTCTGATCTGTGCCTAATTTTATTGACTGTTTTGGGCAGATACAGTGTAATTTTCAGTATTTGCCAAAGCAACAATTATGTACTAAGTAGGTATTGAATGTAAAGCACTATGCTAAGCCTCATGCCAAAAAGAAAAAGTTTTTTTTTTTAATTTCACATGGCCCAGGGGACTAACTCATTTAGCAGATGTGTGAAAAGGTAATAAAGTAAAAATAAATAAGTGAAATTAGCTTTAGAGAATAGAATAAATGCCCAAAGATGCTATATTGTTGGTTGTTAAATGTATGGATAGGAATTGATATATACTAAAAAGAAGAATTTCATTCTAAGGGAAGATGCAGCAGAAATTGCCAGCTACCAACCACGTACCCCTTCCCTCTTACACGTGAACAAAACCTCATTATTGTTGAAGATGGCATTGTGGCCAGCTAGCAAACTACATTTCCCATCCTTCCTTAAAACTAGGGAAATTATTGTATAATTTTGACCAGTGAAACAGAACCAGACTTTAAAAGGGGACTTGACTTAACTGGCACGTGTCCTTTTGCCCTTCAGCCTTCTACCTTTTTT